GCCTGGTGCTGAGGCTGCGCCGCCGCCGCCCGCCCGCCTGGCGAGGAGGAGGGGAGAGGTTCCTGCACAGCCCGCCACCTCTAAGGGCCACCGAACCGAGCGAGAGCCTGCGGGTGGAAAGGGAAAGGGTGGAGATGGCGCATCCCTAAGGCATTGCCATCAAAGTCCTCCTTGTTCATCTTTCATTTGAAATTCTATTTCCTTTCTGCCCAGTTGGAAATTATTCTGATTATTTCCAGGAGAAGAGCGGGATCCAAGCCCCAACTCCTGAAGAGGAATGAGGGGTGAAGATCAAAAACCACCTTGCTCTGAACGACCTACAAATGTAAGGTGGGAGGCATTTTTTCCCTTGTCTGCATGACAAAAGGACCTTTTTTTTTGTTCTTTTTCTGCATGATCGACTTTCACCCCCACCCCCCAATGTATAGTCTGAGCGGGAAATTACTTGGATGTTTCGGCAACTCACACCCTTGCGCACGTCCCCCCTTTTAACCACTGCAAGTATAATCTTTGACCCTGTCCTTCTAAACCTTTTAAAAATATTTTTCACATTAACTTAGCGTCAAAGCAGCTCTATTACCCATTTGAAAGGAAATAAAGAGCAAAGACCGTAGCCCCCAAAGAAATAAACTGGACTAGAGCAAAACCAATGCGGGAAAAATCCTGCCTAAAGCAAAGCCCAGCAGGGATAGTATCAAAGGGTTAAAATCCTTTTGATTGACGTTGTAGCCTCCGGTGCCCCGGGCTCAGGCGCGCGCCATTGGCCGCCAGGCCTTGTGCCTGGCGGCCAATGGGGGGGCGCGGTCCACGAGCGGTGCCGCGTGTCTCCTCCTCCCATTGGCTGAAAGTTACTGTGGGAAAGAAAGTTTGGGAAGTTTCACACGAGCCGTTCGCGTGCAGTCCCAGATATATATAGAGGCCGCCAGGGCCTGGGGATCACACAGGATCCGGAGCCCGTGCTGATAACAGCGGAATCCCCTATCTACCTCTCTCCTTGGTCCTGGAATAGCGCTACCGATCACCAAGTAGCCATAAGATAGTATAATAAACGCTCAGCACTTGCTCAGTAGTTTTGTGAAAGTCTCGAATAAAAGGGACATAAAACAATTTTTTCGTGTGTGTATGAAGGACTCCAAAAATAAAATTCTCTAGGGATTAAAAAAAAACAACAACAACAGAAAATGCCAGCTGATATAATGGAGAAAAATTCCTCGTCCCCGGTGGCTGCTACTCCAGCCAGTGTCAACACGACACCGGATAAACCAAAGACAGCATCTGAACACAGAAAGGTAAGGGCAGTACCTGTATCTCTCTGCAGCCCCAAGAAATTAAGCTGGGGTGGGCGGGGGGTCTTTTATCCCTTAAAACTCCTTTGGTGAAATGGCAGATCCCATGGGAACTAAGGACTTTTTCTTTGCAGTCATCAAAGCCTATTATGGAGAAAAGACGAAGAGCAAGAATAAATGAAAGTCTGAGCCAGCTGAAAACACTGATTTTGGATGCTCTTAAGAAAGATGTAAGTGGATAATGCTGCTTTTTTAGCTTTAATAAATGAAATACTATTCCTCGGGTACTACGTAAGAATGAAGTCTTCTCACCGGCGGATCTTCCCCGCCAGTATTGCGTTCTTTGAGGCGGGAGGGCCGGTCCCCTTCAGTGGGGGTCTGGGGAGGTCGGCGCCGTGGGAGGGACCCCCAGCACTCCGAGGCTGCCGGCGGGGGTCTCACTTGCCTTCCTTGCCTCCTCTTCTGTGCAGAGTTCGCGGCATTCCAAACTGGAGAAAGCAGACATTCTGGAAATGACAGTGAAGCACCTCCGGAACCTGCAGCGGGCACAGATGACGGGTGAGGGCGGCTTGCCGCATCCCCCTCTGCGGGCGTCCCTCTCACCGGGCGGTGATTTCTTCCAGACTTCCGCCCGTGGTTGTGAGAGGCATTCAGCTACATTTTACTGCCTTGGCTCACTCTTACGTTCCCACGGTCTGGGGCTTATTTATAGCCACAACTCCAAGTTGTTACTGTTCCGGAAAGGGAGGGAGAGTGGTTGCAGCGGCGAGGGCGGCGGGCGGCTTGGCAGCGGGGAAAGCGGGTGGGGGCCAAAGGGCTTAGAACTGTGGCGTTTTGAGCTGCGTAGAGCCTGGAGGTCTTGTGCTTTAGCAGTCCCTCCTCCCCCATTATAGAAGGGGAAATGAGGTTCGGATGGCCGGGAAGGGCATCACCCAAGGTCACATCGCACGCGCTGAGTGTGTGGGGGTGGTGGGGGTGGGTAAGATCTAGGGCCGAGATCGGTTTAAATCCAGAGATTAAGAATGGAGAGAAGGAGCGTCTTGGCTTAAGTCGCCAAGCTAGTGTGGAGAAGTGGATGGTTTTACTAAACCCACCCACCCTAACTGGAGGCAGTTCTGCGGGCTCAGTGGTCAGGAAGGCTCGCCGCGGGGACCTCCCAGGGCGGAGGCGGTGGCCTCGGGGCCAGGGCCTTACGGTGACCTGTCTGTCTCCTTCTGGTCTGCAGCCGCGCTAAGCACAGACCCGAGCGTGCTGGGGAAGTACCGCGCGGGTTTCAGCGAGTGCATGAACGAGGTGACCCGCTTCCTGTCCACGTGCGAGGGCGTTAACACCGAGGTGCGCACCCGGCTGCTCGGCCACCTGGCCATGCACAATGGTGCCTGGTGGTCTGATATTATGAACACAGCCTCCCGAGGTACCTGAGTTACCCAAAAGATATGGCTTGAGATCTGGCTCAGTATAAGTTACAGGTTACCCCGTCTGGTGTGCTTGGTCTCACGAAATTCAGAGTTCTGTGCCATGGGAAGCGGAGGCAAGAGCCCTGCGCTAAAGGCAGGGACCCCCGAGCTCTAGGACTTCTCTGCTGCAAATTAGCTGGGTGATCTTGGGTGCGCCCTGCAAGCTGGGCAGCCCCGCCGGAGAGGCAGCTAAGGTGTTCGGTGGCTTCCAGGTGGTGCCGGCTCCTGACGGCCAGTTCGCCTTCCTCATCCCCAATGGGGCCTTTGCTCACAGTGGCCCCGTCATCCCAGTTTACACCAGCAACAGCGGGACCACCGTGGGACCCAATGCAGTGTCGCCTTCCAGCGGACCTTCGCTCACGGCCGACTCCATGTGGAGGCCCTGGCGGAACTGAGGGGCTCAGGCCACCCCTCCCCTCAAACTCAACCTCTCTCTCTTCTCTCGGGACACTAAACAGGAACTTGGATGCTGGGAAAGAAGAGAACTTTTGTGATTAAGTGGTTACTTTGTGTTTTTAATTTCTAAAAAGTTACTTTTTTTGTAGAGAGCTGTATTAAGTGACTGACCATGCACTATATTTGTATATATTTTATATGTTCATATTGGATTGCGCCTTTGTATTATAAAATTTCAGATGACATTTCGTTTTTTACACGAGATTCCTTTTTTATGTGATGCCAAAGATGTTTGAAAATGCTCTTAAAATATCTTCCTTTTGGGAAGTTTATTTGAGAAAATATAATAAAAGAAAAAAGTGAAGGCTTTTATGTCTTAGAACTGATTATTTCAGAATATGTAAAAAAATAAAGGCACTTGGCAGAATTTGAATTACATGTAATCTGAGAATTCAGGAACTGGCTCTGTTGTTATTCAAAGAACATTTTTAAAAATCCATCAAACCTTTCACCATGAACTATATTCCATTTAATTTGCAAGAACCTATGCAATATGGTTTCTCTGATCAATTTGTGATAAATTCCTTAACCCCTTCCCCGGCAGAAACGTGTATACTCGTTTTCACAAAATGTTCTTTTTCAGTCGTCGACGAGTATACTAAGAAAATATGGTAAAAAAATATGGTTTATAGGAAGACGAGATACAAACTGTTTTCATAACCAGCATCAACAATACTATATAGAACCAAAATAAAAAAATTAGTCTGAAAAAGAAATGTTTTTAACAAAAAAATTGTTGGGGAAGCGGTTAAAGAATTTCAAACAGTTAGTTATAGTTGGGTAGGCCATTCAGGGTACCTGCTCCTTCTGAGAAAGGTTGAACAGGACTGAATTCATGAAGTTAATGGATCTGGTACCATTGCCCGGGTCACTTTAAAGGACGCTCCTGCAGCCCTTCCCCCCTGGGGTAGCTTACCAACATTCAAAGTAAAAACACTCTTAACCAGTGCAGCCTCCAACCTTCCAGAGTTGGAAGTCTTCCTTTAATTAGTCAGCCCTTAGGTTCAGCCGTTCCCTCGTACCAGCATCCAAAGGTTTGAAATGCCTCTCTGCACCCTCTTCAAGCAAGCTGAGAAGGTCAACAGATTCCTTCTGCCAAGGGACAGCTAGTTAGACTCCCATGTGGAGCCCAAGTCCAGATGATTAACACCAGACATATGTTTTTGATAAGTTTCTGTGCTTGGCTCTAATAGAGAAAGCATGTGGGGGCCGAGCTGGCAGGCACACAGGCCATCTTCCCCCTTTTAATACAAACAGCAAGCGACCCCTTCGCTTGGTCATGCCCCATTTCCAGGCAAGATGTGGGCTCCAGATAGGAGCAAAAGGCTTGTCTCGGGTTTCAGCTCACATAACCCTCCTTAACAAGTCCTAACTCAAAGCGGACAGCTTTAAACTGTGCCAGGATCTGCAGGGAATTTCTTCCAAATCCCATCACAAAGGCTTGTCAGATTTTGTCAGATTTGGCCAGGTGTTTGACTGCATCCAGGTGTTGGGGAAATGAAAACCACGAGCCCTACGAGACCAGACACATCAGCGGCGCTGTGGGTCTGGCGGGCGCGCCCTCCTCCCGCACTGCCGGCCAGTCCTGC